CCACACATGTGGGACTCTGACCTGAGAAGGGAATGCTGGTTGGCCAGTACTGTACATTTGAAGAGGCACAATGAGGGTGGTTATGGGAGTGCAGAAAAAAACTGCAAACTGGAACCAAGTGATATTGTCAGAATGAGGAGTTGTTACTGAGAGAATGTTGACAGAGACAGAAAGCAAAGAGAAGAAAAGTGTCCCAGGCCAGGTGCAGTGGCTCACGCCTGTAATCCCAGCACTTTGGGAGGTCAAGGCGGGTGGATCATTGAGGCCAGGAATTCAAGACCAGCCTAGCCAACATGGTGAAACCCATTCTCTACTAAAATGACAAAAATTAGCTGGGTGTGATGGCAGACACCGTAATCCCAGCTACTCGGGAGGCTGAGGCAGGACAGTAGCTTGAACCTGGGAGGCAGAGGTTGTAGTGATGCCGAGATGGCACCACTGCACTCCAGCCTGGGCAACAAAGTGCGACCCATCTTGAAGAGAAAAAAAAGAAAAAGGAAAATGTCTCTTCTAGCCCTAGAACCTGCCTTTAGTAGTCCCTACAGGCCAGCCAGCTGGCAAAGGAGAAATGTGATTTGCAGAGTTCTAGCCCCAGCAAACAACAGTGTAAAAACCAGCGCAACATTCCTCTAAAAGAACCACGTAGGATAATCTGCTATACCAGACAGAAATCATTACTTATTATAAAACAAAAGTAATTCTAACTGTGTAATGTTAACAGAGATACAAAAACAGACCAATGGAACCCAACAGAGCCCAAAATCAGACCATTTGACAAAACTGGCACTGCATGGGAGCAGAGAAAACCCACATGACAATCACATGGAAAAAAAAGAATTGGATCGCTACCTCCCTTATACACAAAAACAAACTCCAACTGGGCATCAAGGCACACAAGAAGCTGTATTCCCAGCTTCTTGGGAGGTTGAGGCAGAAGGATCACTTGCGCCCAGGAGTTCCAGGTCGGCCTAGAAGCAAGATTCCCCCACCTCAAAAAATAAAATAAATTGGTTAAACCACTATGGAGAACTAGCTTTACATTATCTAGTAAAGCCATAAATACGTCTACTCTATGACCCAAATTACATTGCTGGGCATACCACAGAGATATGTAGGCACATGTGCAACAGCTATATACATGTTCGGTTTTTTTTTAAAGAGACAGGGTGTTGCTATCACCCAAGCTGGAGTGTAAGATCACAGCTCATTGTAACCTCAAACTCCTGGGCTCAAGAGATCCCCTCATCTCCTAAGTAGCTGGGACTACAGGCACACACCACCATGTCCAGCTTATTTCTTATTTTTATAGAGACAGGGTCTCACTATGTTGCCTGAGCTAATCTGGAACTCCTGGACTCAAGCAATCTTCCCACCTCAGCTTCTCAAAGCACTGGGATTATAGGTGTAAGCCACTGTGCCCAGCCCTTAATATACAAAAATATTAATGACTAATTTTTGAAATATCCAAAACTGGAAACAATTATCTCTCAACATTACAGTGAATAGTGATGGAGTCATGTAGTAAAATTCTATCCATAGTAGAATAATAATAGTGTAGTAAATCCCAGCTACTCGGGAGGCTGAGGCAGGGGAATCACTTGAACCCAGGAGGCAGACGTTGCAGTAAGCCAAGATTGCACCATTGCACTCCAACCTGGCGACACAGCGAGACTCTGTCTCAATTAAAAAAAAAAAAAAAAAAAGTAGGAAATTTCTATATATAGTAATGAAAATAAATGAAAACATCTTGATGTAGACAAACAGGATGAATCTTACAACTTTGCTGAGAGGGGAGCAAGGCAAAATAATACAAGCAGTATAGGCACTGCTACTTGTAAGTCAGATTAAATATTTAACTGTAAACATGAAGACTGAGTTACTATCTTGTCTACAGATTTGTACTTTTCCCTTACAAATGAATGAACCTATAGACATGGCTGCATTTGCTATTTTGCTTGTATTTATTCAATGTCAGCATTAACTAATCATTGAAAAACTTGGATGAAGTGATGCCTGAGCTGAAGAGAGAGAACTTACACTTTTAAAATAATGTTACCATTTTCTGAGGGTTTACATGTTTCTGAGAGCTTCTAATTCTGTGTTTTCCACTTTATCTCACAACACTTCTAGGTCAGTGTCACCCTATTTACACAGTCGAGAAAACTGAGGTTCAGAGAGATAGTGATTATCTTAAAGTCACAAGTTCTCAAAGTGGCAAAACCAGGATTCAATCCAGGTCCTTCTGAATTCAAACCCCATGTACTTGGCTACATTTCAATGTTTCCTTTTCAAATAAATCCAAGAATGGCTGGAGAATAGCCTGTAAGAGAAAGAGCATTTCAAGATGACTGTCTATAGATCAATAAGATCAGATTATGAAGTCTTAAATGCCATGTTAAAGCAGCTGGTTGTTTTTTTCCTGACAACAATGAGGTGTAACTGAAGGCTAGGGGGTTGCCATAAGCAGTGAAGAGACAGGATAAAGTTTTTAAGATCATTCTGGCTGCAGTATGGATTGAAAGAGTGTAAGACTTGAGGCTGAGAGACCAACTAGGAGACGACTGCCTTTCTCAAGAGAAAGGATGAGGGCCTAAACCAGGAGTCACACATGAAGCATAAAGGAGTGAAGCAGGCAGATTTTCTAAGACAGTTGCTTGCTGGCTGTCAGTTTTGGTAGAGGGGTCATCCTTAACAACTAGAGACCTCTCCCCAGTCTTTGTACACATCCAGAACCAACAGGTCATTGAAACTTTCTCACACTATAGCTTTTCATCACAGCTGGGAAAGGTTCTCTGCTTTTAAAGATTCATGATTATATTGGGCCCACCCAGATAATCCAGGCTATTCTCCATCTCAAAACCCTTAACCTTGACCACATCTAAAGTTCTTTTTGCCATTTTACAATAGCATATTCACAGATCCCAGGGATTAGGATGTGGACATCTTTGGGATGATTATTCTGCCTATACAGTTGGTACTCCCTCACACAACTGTAACTAAATTAACACGTGCAGCAACCCTGGCCTGAGAAGGGTATGATTACCAAAGGCTCAAGACTTTCCAGGAAAGAAGGTAGGTTCATACCACCAGGCACACCAAGACCTACCATCATAATAACTGAGGGAATTTAGAATGTATAGTAGAGAGGGGAGATGATTACCAGTTGCAGCCCCAAGACAAACTGTAGCTATGAGGGTTCTAATTTGTACCCCTAAGTTTCTCCTTTAAAAGGCCCCCAGGAATCATGAACATGCACGGGAGAAGTGGATCTGTCTGACAAAAAGCTGTAGCCATGGAGGTATGCCGCCCAGATTTCAAGAGTGCAGTTAACTGAGAGCCTCCAGCATCCTCACCTTTGGATTGACCAAGATATCACACTTCCCTCAGGTTGCTGCTAGTGACTGAGCACAGCAAGGGTATTAAGCCATTTCTTCTGACAGACCTTTGTTTAGAGACTCCATTACCAAGGCCAAATCTTTCTCAGTAATATGGTGCAGCCTGAGGCCCCTCCTACCCCATCTTCCTGTTTTCTCTGCACCTAATGAGAGCCAGAACCCTGGAGAATGGTAGCCGAACATAGCCTTCCCAAAACTTACCACAGCTGAGTCTGCAAGCATGCGCAGCTATCAGAATTTCTGAGGTTCTAAGAGTAGATTCCCCGGCCCTCATTCCCCAGAAAGTGTTGATGGGCCTATTAATTTACTTTTTAGCAAGCATGCTGGGTGATATATATGCTAGTGGTCTGTAAATTACATTTTTTTAACCAGGAGGAGGATATCTGAGCAGTCATGTTCAAACTCATAGCTGTGTAAGTAACGTTTGTCTTAGCTAGGCATGATGGCACACAAGTCCCAGATTTAAGAAGCTGAGAGGCAGGGGAATGGCTTGAGCCCAGTTCAAGACTGTAATGAACTATAATCATGACACTGTTCTCCAGGCCAGGTGACATAGTGAGATCCCATCTCAAATATAAACAAACACATAAATAAAATGTTTGTCTTTGTGGATAAAGTATAAAATGCACTACACTAGGCTGGGCATGGTGGCTCACACCTATAATCCTAGCACTTTGGGAGGCTGAGGCAGGCAGATCACCTGAGGTGAGGAGTTCGAGACCAGCCCAGCCAACATAGCAAAACTCCATCTCTACTAAAAATACAAAATTTAATCAGGCACGGTGGCGCATGCCTGTAATCCCAGCTACTCAGGAGGCTGAGGCAGGAGGATCATTTGAACATAGGAGACGGAGGTTGCAGTGAGCCAAGATTGAGCCACTGCACTCCCCCGCCTAGGCGACAGAGCCAGCTCCCGTCTCAAAAAAAAAAAAAAAAAAAAAAGTACTAAACTAGGGAATCAAAAAAGCAGTGGGAACTACAAACTTAAAAACAGTATCACTGGAAGACCTAGTAAAGGCAATCTCCCTAGGGGTTCATCTGATGGACCTTTTATGAGTTACTTTTGACCATTCTCTGAATGTAAATGATTAAAGTTAAGATGATGGTGTAACTGTAAGCCATTCTGTGCCCATTTCAGTTCTTAGAGAAAGTAATTTTTTGCCCTCCTTGTCAAAATGCAGTACAGAAATAGACAATTTCTAGTGCAGGTATCTCAACCCCAACTGAACTTCTATTTTAACCCTGCTCTAAGATTCAGTCTCAAAACAATCTTGACAATACCTTACTATCTTAGTGATCCAGCAACAGGCCCAATTTCTCTTATGTTTTAAGTATATTCCTACCATTAGAGAATTTTGAGATGGCATGAACATTATTGTTTTTTTTAATTATTATTTAAAATTTGAAAATATAGACACAGGGTCTCACCATGTTGCCCAGACTGGTCTTGAAGTACTGAGCTCAAGTGATCCACCTATCTCAGCCTCCCAAAGTGCTGGGATTACAGGTGTAAGCCACCACACCTAGCAGAGATGACATTGGCATTAATCGTGAGAAATGGGAGTGGGAGTAGGGGACACAGAGTGGAAGGGTAGAAAGAAGATATTTGGAACTGATTGGCTTTAATAAGTCCTGCCCCTTTTCATTTACTTCTTCCTTAAAAGCAAAACCAAAATGAACTACTGAAGATTTATTTTTTCCTGGGGTGGAAGTATTATCTGCCCCAACTTCCCTTTCCCATCAGAGACAGGTCCCTAAAACCGCGAAAGAGAGACTATATTCTCAAACAAAACATGCATTCAATTCAGGTGACTGTTTGATATTTTCATAACATTTTCTTTAACATTTAATAGAAACTATATACAATAAATTTGTACTATATTTTACATAAGATAGCAACCACCGAAATTTACATAGGTTAAAAGCAAGATGGATAAGGAGGACCCAGTCCTGTGGGCTGTTTTCTCAGAGGATAAAAGCCAGAGTTCACCACGGAAACAGGTTAAAGATTGCCCAATTAAGTAGAGGTGAAGAAAAGTTAAACTGCAGGTCTTTAGATAGAGATAACCAGATATTAGGGCCATCAGTATCTAAAAGACACTACTCACAAAGACAGCTCCCACCTAGCTACTTAAGTGGATTTCTATCCATGACTTTGGAAATCCCATTACAAAGATGTCACTTTCCTTTTAGGTATAGTACCAAATAATCCCAGAAGCTTTGATAGGGATTATCTCTCTTCCTTGCCCTGAGTGGGAAGAAACCCACAACTTTTAAGAAGTATTGGTCCATGTCCTCAAAATTTGGCTTTACTTTTGACTATAATACTCAATCCAGAAGAAAAACAAGATAGTCTGGGTTGCCTGTGTTTTGCGAGAGATGATCAGAAATATTTCTTTGAAGAATGAGAAATTTAAATCCACCAAAGTAAAATGGTTCCCCAAACTATCAACTAATAGAAGTGGGTTCTGGCTTCCCATTTGCAGTAGCCAATCCACTCTGAGACAATGGTGCAGAGGCTTTCTCAGAATTTCGAGATCCCTGGGATCTGCACCCATCTCCAGCCATCTGCATCTGGCCCTGTTAAAAGAAATAAAGGCACTTCAGTTAGAAATTCATTCACTGTGGTCTGAAGTATGAATCTGACTTATCAGTGGCCATTTATACTAGCAATAAGAACAATACAACAGAAATTAATTAATTCTGGACAGATGCTCCTCCCTATATTAGCTATCCCTGTCCCTTGGAAGAGTCTACTCCTGAGCCTCTTCCAATGGGTTGGAGAGCTGTAGGTTGTTTCTTCCAAATGAAACAGCCATTCCCTGCTGAGGTCCCAGAACAGCCAACAGACCATAGGAAGACAGTCCTTTAGGCCTCTGCTTGAAACCAACAGCTACAGTACAACTGCTGGTTTTCAGTCAGGGCCACTGGAATTGTACCCAAGGCTCACAGACAGAACTCAAATCACCCTACTTTACCAGTCATTCTATAATGAGAACAATTTCAGTGCTGAACTCTCCCTCAGAAGATACAGTTTACCTAGATTCCTTATCTCAAGCTTTTATTTAAATAAATTTATGTCCTACTCTGGGATATGAGGATCAGGGGCCATTAGGTGTTCTAAGAGTCTATCTGGAAAACTACAGCAACAAGGGTATACAGGAGCAAAGTAGGGCATTTTTAAAAGTGCTTTGCTTATATGGTATTCAATGTGCGAGAGACATGTGGAGCATCTTTATACTAGTGATGACACCCCACTCCCCTCCAGGAGTACATGCTATCCAGCAGGGAACCCTCTGCCTGGCCAGGTCTCTACATGCAGGAAACAGGTGGGACTGTTCTTCACTTGCCAAAATATCCACTGGGTCTTCAGCTATTTCTTTGACTAAATGATCTTCAAGGGTTAGTGAAGGATCAAAAAGCAAAGGTGAAGGAGGACACTGCATACCATCACCCACAACATCCAAGTCCTAGAAAACAAGAGAGAAAAGCCCATCAGCAATACCAAGGGAAACAATAATAAAGGTGGTATGTTTTTCAGCAAACTTTAAAGCAATACTCTGCTGTCTCCCTCAACCCTAGCCTACCTTTGATCAAAAAAAAATTTTACCAGAACGTCCAACAAATGAAACAAGAATCAAGAGCACTGAGAGCTTTTGCTGCCAAGTATAAAATATAGACCAACATAGTGGATTAAAAAACACAATTCTGGCCACCACACCTGTAATCTCAGCACTTTGGGAGGCTGAGGTAGGCAGATCGCTTGAGCCCAGGAGTTCAAGACCAGCCTGGGCAACATGGTGAAATCCTGTCTCTACAAAAACTGCAAAAATCAGCCAGGCGCAGCAGCACACACCTGTAGTCCCAGCTACTCCAGAGGCTGCTGAGGTGGGAAGACCCCTTGAGCCTGGGACGCAGTGGCTGCAGTGAGCCGAGATTGAGCCTCTGCACTCCAACCTGGGTGGCAGAGTCAGACCCTGTCTCGGAAAAAAAAAAAAATGTACAGGAAAATTCATAGAAACACAAAGTAGGAACGGAGAATAGTAGGGAACAGGGGAAAGGGAAAGGAGAGAGTTACTGTTTAAAAAATACAAAGTTTCTGTTTGGATTGATGAAAAAGTTCTGAAACAGAAAACATTGATAGCTGTATAACATGGTAAATGTTCGTACCACCACTGACTTGTACACTTAAAAATGGCCAGGTACAGTGGCTCATGCCTGTGATCCCAACACCTTGGGAAGCCGAAGTGGGAGGATCACTTGAGGCCAGGAATTCAAGACCAGCCTGGGTGATACAGCAAGACCCCATCTCTAGTTACCCACCTACATACACACATACATACATAGGTTAAAAGAGTAAAATTTTGTTATGTATGTTTTACTACAATTAAAAAAATATTTTTTAAAAAAGCATATTCTCTCTGAGGCTACCTGTAATCAACATGCAAGTTCACCAGTGATTAATTTAAATATGAACAATGCTATATTAAAATTAAATACTGCTGGACAATACAAGATTGCCTGATTAACATCCTAACAGCCACGAAACAAGCAAACAAGCCCCAACAGGGGAAAGGGAGAAGGTAGGAAGAAAGGAAGGATGACAGAAAACTCACAGTTCCTCTGAATGGCTAGGAAATATTGTTTTGGTTAAGTCCCTATCCCCACAGAGCAACAACCTGGTTTTTTTTCTTGTTTTTTTGTTTTTTGAGACAGAGTCTCGCTCTGTCACCCAGGCTGGAGTGCAGCAACGTGATCTCGGCTCACTGCAACCTCCGCCTCCTGGGTTCAAGCGATTCTCCTGCCTCAGCCCTCTCGAGTAGCTGGGACTACTGGCATGTGCCACCATGCCCAGCTAATTTTTTGTATTTTTAGTAGAGACAGGGTTTCACCGTGTTAGCCAGGATGGCCTTCAATCTCCTGATCCAGTGATCCACCCGCCTCAGCCTCCCAAAGTGCTGGGATTACAGGCATGAGCCACCATGTTCAGCCAACTCCCTGGTTCTTAAGGCTAACACAGTTTTGCTTTGTTAAAAAAAAAAAATGGCATTACATTCTAGACTATATTTCTTCCAACTGAATTGGCACTTCGCACTGGAATACTGAATAGCCAACAGACCACAAGGAAGACATCACTCTTAGCTCCTGTTTGAAACCAACAGCTACAGCAAACCATTGGTCTTGATTCAGGGCCTAAGGCATTACAAAGGCTCAAACAATATATCAAACTAACTTTCATGCCACTGCTTTTCAAGAGTCTGGTGCTAAACTCCTCTTTCCTAAGAGTTAAAAATATCCAGGAGGTTTGTACCCCTCTATACCTAATCCAGTTTATAGACGCTCTATGTTTCTATTCATCTAGCTTCACGAGAAGCTTAGTTCTACGCTTTTAAATAAATCTAAGAATTTGCAATCCTTTCGCATTTTTTGGTGTGCTAATCACCAAAAATGAGAATCACAACATCTTCACATTAAAGAATTTATGTAATTTTAAAATCTACTTAAAGTTGCTCAGGCCGGGCACGGTGGCTCAGGCCTGTAATCCCAACACTTTGGGAGGCCGAGGCGGGAGGATCACGAGGTCAAGAAACCATCCTGGCTAATATGGTGAAACCCCGTCTCCAATAAAATACAAAAAATTACCAGCCTGGCCAACATGGTGAAACCCCATCTCTACTAAAAATACAAAAATTAGCCAGGCGTCGTGGCACGCACCTGTAGTCCTAGCTACTCAGCAGGCTGAGGCAGAATTGCTTAAACCCAGGAGGCAGAGGTTGCAGTGAGCCGAGACTGCGCTGCTGCACTCCAGCCTGGGCGACAGAGCAAGACTGTCTCAAAAAAAATAATAAAATAAAGCTGCTCAATTTAAGCAGAAACATAGGGCATAGGATACACTAACCTACCATCCATTTCAGGTGAGTTGGAAACTTCTGTAGTACCCACAGAAACCAGTGTTCTCACACCATGAAGACTATAAATCTGTTTTCTCCCATTCTTTTACCATGTGCAATTTTTGTGTGTATATGCGTGTGGTGAGACAGAGTTTCGCTCTTGTTACCCAGGCTGGAGTGCAATGGCAAGATCTTGGCTCACTGCAACCTCCACCTCCCGAGTTCAAGCAATTCTCCTGCCTCAGCCTCCCCAGTAGCTGGGATTACAGGTGTGTGCCACCGCATCCAGCTAATTTTTGTATTTTTTGTAGAGGGAGTTTCACCATGTTTGCCAGGCTAGTCTCAAACTCCTGACCTCAGGTGATCCACCTGCCTCGGACTCCCAAAGTGCTGGTATTACAAGCGTGAGTCACCACGCCTGGCCCACGTGCAATTCTTATATAAATAATTAGCTTGGAATGGGTGTGGTGGCTCATGCCTATAATCCTAGCACTTTAGGAGGCCAAGGTGGGAGAATCACTTGAGGCCCGGAGTTTGAGACCAGCCTGGCCAACATGGCAAAACCCTGTCTCTACTAAAAATACAAAAATTAGCCAGGCATGGTGGTGCGCGCCTGTAATCCCAACTACTTGGAAGGCTTAAACCGGAGAATCACTTGAACCCAGGAGGCAGAGGTTGCAGTGAGCCGAGATCACGCCACTGCACTCCAGCCTGGGTAGTAGAGACAGACTCTGTCAAAAATAATAATAATAATTAGCTTGAAATTATTTAAATACTGAAGCAAAAGACATCCAAGTCTCAAGATAATAATGGAATGGATACGTTTTCAGAAAAAGCTTTTCTCATATATACAAAGTGTTGTCTTTTATAAGATTATAAATTGGGAAAAGGAACCTAAAATAAGAAAATCAGCAAAAATGCCTATTAAAACAGGAGTGTTTTAAAAACTGAAGTATCAGGATATAAAGAGAATCCATATTTTCGGCCAGGCACGGCGTCTCATGTCTGTAATCCCAGCACTTTGGGGAGGCTGAGGCGAGTGGATCACCTGAGGTCAGGAGATCGAGACCAGCCTGGCCAACATGGCAAAATCCCATCTCTACTGAAAAATAAAAAAATAAGGCAGACATGGTGGCACACACCTGTAATCCCAGCTACTAGGGAGGCAGGAACAGGAGAATTGCTTGAACCCAGGAGGTGAAGGTTGCAGTGCGCCAAGATCGTGCCACTGCACTCCAGTCTAGGCGACAGACCAAGATTCCATCTCAAAAAACACATAAATCAATAAAGATAAAATAAGAGAATCCACGTTTTGTTACTATCTCCAAAACCACCAATAGAGAATGAGAGAGAAGGAACTCAAAAGTAGTAAGATTAAGGTGTTCAGTTACTACTTGCCAACTACCCTTGCATCAAAGCACAGAAAGCAAGCAAATATCCAGAATGAACAGCTGTGTTTTTACTCATATTAATATCTGATGCCTGGTCTTCCCACAAGTAAAATCACCAAAGTTATCATTAACAGTTATAGGCCAGGAATGGTGAATCATGCCCATAATCTCAGCACTTTGGGAGGCCAAGGTGGGCGGATCACTTGAGGCCAGGAGTTAAGAGACCAGCCTGGCCAACATGGCGAAACCCTGTCTCTACAAAAAATACAAAAATTAGCAAGTCCTGCTGGCACACACCCGTAGTCCCAGCTACTCGAGAGGGTGAAGCACAAGAATCACTTGAATCCTGGCGGCAGAGGTTGCAGTGAGCTGAGATCACACCACTGCACTCCAGCTTGAACAACAGAACAAGATTCAGTCTAAAAAAAAAAAAAGCCACGTTATAGTGGCCGGGCACAGTGATTCACGCTTGTAATCCCAGCACTTTGGGAGGCCAAGGTAAGAGGATCACTTGAGCCCAGGAGTTGAAAACCAGTCTAGGCAACATAGGGAGACCTCATCTATGCAAAAAATAAAAAACTGGCTGGGCATGGTGGCATAAACCTACAGTCCCAGCTACTTGGGAGGCTGAGGCAGGAGGATCACTTAAGCCCAGGAGTTCGAGGCTGCAGTGAGCCATGATCATGCCACTGCACTCCAGCCTGAGCAACAGAGCAAGACCCCAATTTAAAAAAAAAAAAAAAAAAAATTACAAAAATGATACCTAAGCTGGGCATGGTGGTTCATGCCGACAGAAACCCTATCTCAAAAGTTCTTAACAGTATATTCCGTAACAGCCAGAAAGTAGAAACGGCACAAATATATCCATCAACTGATAGATTTTCAAAGGATGGTATTTCCAAACAATGGAATATTAATTCAGTCACAAAAAGGAATGAAGTATTGATACATACTACAGTATGGGTAAACCTTGAAAACATTAGAAAACATTATGCTAAGTGAAACAAGCCAGACACAAAAGGACACATATACTATTACATTGATATGAAATGTCCCAAATAAGCAAATTTAGAGACAAAAAGTAGATTCGTGGTGGCCAGGGGCTGGGGGGAGAAGAAAATGAAGAGTGTCATAATAGGTACTGGGTTTCTTTTGGAGACAGTGAAAACCTTCTGAAATTAGATAGTGGTGATAATTGCATTAACTTTGTGAATATGCTAAAAATCAGTCAATTATACACTTTCAAAGAGTGCAATTTATAGTATGTAAATTGTATCCCTAAAAAGGTATGGGAAAAGAGTCTGGAAAAAAAATTAGGTAGGGTAGATTTCTCCAAATGAATATGCTAACATACAAACACAACCATACATATATATCACTTTGTCGATCTTCCTAACCACAAAGACTAACCTATTCTCACCATTAATAAATAAGGCTTTGTCTCAAGGGCCTGACCCAGAGCAGAGCTTCTCTAACTTACATCACTGAACTCCAGAGGTAAACTCTCAGTGGGCTGAAGCTCAGCAGCACTCAAGTACAGATCCATGGGGCCGGCTTCCAGATCGTCTGGCACAGACAGTACCTGCTCGGGCTTATACATCTGAGGAGGCAACTGGAAATGCAGTGGGCAGCAGGGATCCTCAGAGAGGCTTACAGGAACAGGTTTGTTGCAGGGTACCTCTTCAGATCCCTGGCAGCACTTGAAGAGAACCTGATTCGTATCCTGACAAATATCTGTAGAAAAATGGTCAAGGGAAATAAAACACAATCTATCGAAAGCATAAAATACAAATAACATTGTCTGCCACATAAAACTCAAGGTCTGGACTATACAAGATAAATTACAATTACATTTGATACAGAATATCAAATGCAGTTAGCAATTTTTAAAGTTACTTCTCAAAATAAATGTCATCTACTAACATCAAATTCTAGCTCTACCAGTAATTTAAAACTTGTCCCCAACCTCCTTTTCAGGATCCTGGTCATTTAAACTAGACACTAATCCCATTCTCCCTTAAGTAAGTAGCAGTAACACTCCCAGGAACACATACCTATTCAGAAGAAACATGTAGTGGCAAATGCAAATAGCCTTGAAAATGCCCCTAAACAGCCCTTCCAAGAGATACAATGTGTCTGCTCCCTTAGCAGACTGGCAAAGTTTGCAACAATTTCTTGGACCTTGTTTCCAAAGATGATTACATGATAAATTCATTTAAAGCACCACTGGAATAGGGGGAAACAGAGCTCTAGTAAAAGTCACTAGGTATCATATTCTGACAAGAAATTAAATATCCACGCTTTTTTTTTTTTTTTTAGGGGAGTGTGGTAGTACAGAAGAATCCTTTTATGATCCTAAAGAAGAAAATGTTGCTTATGAAGGCCCATTGAAAAAAACAAAGAAAAGTATTCCAGAAACACTCCAAGGACTCTATTAACAACTTTTGTTAAAGGTAGAAGGGCTATATTTCCAAGTTAGCAAAGAAGCACTGTAGAATGAATCAAAATCGAGATGATTAGATACAATAAAATTCAAGTTACTCTACAAAACACATTTTATGCAAGTGCTACCATTTCTTTAAATCTTAACTACCTGGTTATTTTCCTAGATTAATAAATGTTATTTTAAAATTTGACTTATTTTTAACCAGAAAACACAATTTTTCCATAAACTGATAGTACCTGAATTATGGAATTATAATTTTCAACTCAAAACTTTTATGGTAATTTTTTAAATTAAAAAAAATCTAACATACTTTGTAATTTTTTAAACCATAAAAACTTCCTTGAATAAAGCTATTTCTTTCAATGCATACTTGGAAATAACTAAACTCTCAAGCAGGGTGTGACAACTGTGGCACTACCAACATGGTGGGCCAGGTACATCTTTGTTGGACGAGGATGTATAGCAGCATTCCTGGCCTCTAACCACTAGCTGTCAGCAGCACCTCCATCTCTGAATTATAACAACCAAAAATTTCTCCACACATTGCCAACTGGAAAACAAAAGGGCCCCCAGCTGAAAACCACTACTCTAAAGAAACAGAAGATAGTACAAGGCAAACGAGTATTTATTGAATGATCAAATGAATAAACACATGAATCTAATGGGAATCATCAGATCTGCACTATGTGCTTAAGAAAATCTAAGCAATACCTAATGTGCTTAAGAAACCCACTCTTATTTAAATTATTAATATTTAAAATGTTACCATTAAATATTTCAACCAAACTTTTTTTTAGAAGTCTCGCTCTGTCACCCAGGCTAGAATGCAGTGGTGCGATCTTGGCTCACTGCAACCTCTGCCTCCTGGGTTCGAGATTCTCCTGCCGCAGACTCCCAAGTAGCTGGGATTACAGGCACCCAGCTAATTTTTATACTTCTAGTAGAGACAGGGTTTTGCCATGTTGGCCAGGCTCGTCTCGAACTCCTAACCTCAGGTGATCCGCCTGCCTCAGCCTCCCAAAGTGCTAGGATTACAGGCGTAAGCTATCATGCCCAGCCAAGAACTTTTTTTCATTTGAATTCAAAGGACTTTCACAAGTCTCTTATGTATTTAATACCACAATATCCTTAAAAAGGACTCCCCCCGTCATCCTCCACCCACTTTCCTTTCACATGGGGCAAAAGAGGCAAAAAGAAGGGAATGGTTAACCTACAACTAGAGTCTGGGTCCTTCACTTTCAGTCGAGTGCTGTCTCCATTAGACCACAGTAAAGAGTTAACAGGTCACCAATGGCAGTCGCATCTTTCTCTGGGATAAGGACTTAAGGAAGGGTAAGTGACTTAGACAACTATGGAGTGGAAAGGAAAGAGCATAAAAGGAAAAGAAAATACTTCCCTTCTCTTTTCAAATACATTTTCAATTTTGCTTTATATTTATATTTTAATAAGCTATTTGAGTACAGTATTATAAGAAATATCTAAAATAGTCCTTAGTATCTGTAAACTGAGTTTTTTCCCTTATAAAAGTAATTCAAGCTCGCTTTAAAAAACCAAAAAATAAAAGAACAGTGAAAAAAGGGCATTCATAACCACACCATGCACAAACCATCACATTTCTGTATTGTTCCCTCCCAGTATTTGGTTTCATGCAATTTAGACATAGTACAGAATTCCATATCCTGGAATGTCACTATCATTTTGCTGTCATTCACAAATTTTGTTAAATATATTTAATGCCTGAAAATATTCCACACTATGTTGTGCCATAATTTATCTCCCTACTCTCCGGCTCTAAAAATTTTAAGGCTGTCTCAAGTTGGAAGAATATTTCATGTAAAAATATTGGTCTGCATTTGATTATCTCCTTAAAATAAATTCCCAGAAGTAAAAATCATATGAGGAAATATGAATTATTGTCAAATTGCTTTCCAAAAAGCTTATATCAATTTATATTCCTACTAGCAATATTTAGAAGGGTCCGTCCATTTCACCATACTCTCACCTACTTTTGAAATTCACCGACTCATTTCTGAAAAACTGCATATTTTTAATTTTAAAATAAATATATGTACAAATAACAATTTTATAGATTTTAAATTTTCCTTGTTTTATTTCCTATTTAGAGTTAACCTTTGAACAACAAAAGTTTGAATTGCACGGGTCCACTTACACGTGCATTTTCTTCTGCCTCTGTCATCCCACAGACAATAACACTTCCCCCTCCATTTAACAAAAAGACCACGAGAATAAGGACCTCTATGATAATCCACTTCCATTTAATAAACAGTAAATGTATTTTCTCTTCCTTATGATTTTCTTAGTAACACTTTTTCCTAGATTATTTTAAGAATACAATATATAAGACATATAAAATATGTCTTAGGCAGCTATGTTGTTAAGGCTTCTGATCAACAGTAAGCCATAAGGCTACCAGCAGTTAAATTTTGGAGGAATCAAAAATTATACACAAATTTTCAACTGTGTAGGGGGTCAGCACCCCAACCCTCTGAATTGTTCAAAGGACAGCTGTATTTATAGTGAAGATACACTTTTCAACTATTAGTGGTTTTTTTTGTTTTTTTTTTTTGTGTGTGAGACGGAGTCTCGCTCTGTCGCCCAGGCTGGAGTGCAATGGCGCAAACTCGGCTCACCACAACCTCTGCCTCCCGGGTTCAAGGGATTCCCCTGCCTCAGCCTCCCCAGTAGCTGGAATTACAGGCGCCCATCACCACGCCTAGCTAATTTTTGTATATTTAGTAGAGACAGGGTTTCACCATATTGGCAAAGCTGGTCTCAAACCCCTGACCTCAGGTGATCCACCCGCCTCAGCCTCCCAAAGTGCTGGGATTACAGGTGAGAGCCACTCTGCCCAGCCCTATTAGCCTTTTCTATCTTCTTTTAAATCTGTCCATAGCGTTTGCCCAATTATGTTTTAGGCAAATTTTTTTTTTTTGAAACACAGTCTCAACTCTGTCGCCCAGGCTGGAGTGCAGTGGCGCAAAATCTCAGCTCACTGCAAGCTCCACCTCCCGGGTTCATGTCATTCTCCTGCCTCAGCCTCCTGAGTAGCTGGGACTACAGGCACCCGCCACCACATCTGGCTAATTTTTGTATTTTCTGTAGAGGCGGGGTTTCACCATGTTAGCCAGGATGGTCTCGACCTCCTGACCTCATGATCTGCCCACCTCAGCCTCCCAAAGTGCTGGGATTACAGGCGTGAGCCACTGTACCCAGCCTTTTTTTTTTTTTTTTTTTTTGAGACAGAGTCTCACTCTGTCGCCCAGACGAGTGCAGTGGTGCAATCTCCGCTCACTGCAACCTCCGCCTCCTGGGTTCAAGCAATTCTCTGCCTCAGCCTCCCAAGTAGCTGGGATTACAGGCACCTGTCACCATGCCTGGCTAATTTTGTTTTGTATTTTTAGTAGAGATGGGGTTTCACCATCTTGGACAGGCTGGTCTTGAACTCCTGACATCGGTGATCCACCCGTCTCGGCCTCCCAAAGTGCTGGAATTACAGGCGTGAGTCACCTCGCCCAGCCTTTTTTTTCTTTTTTTAAGAGACAGGGTCTTGCTCTGTCACCCAGGGTAGAATGCAGTGGCATGATCCTAACTCACTGCAGCTTCAAACTCCTAGGCTTAAAAAATCCTCCCAAGTAGCCAGAACTACAGATACATGCCATCATGCCCAGATAATTTTTCTTTCTTCCTTTTTATCTTTAGAGATGAGGTCTCACTGTGTTGTCCAGGATGTAAGTATTTATCTTTAGAGTTTTTCATTACTTTGCACAAGTATTCTATATATTAAGAACAATAATATCTTATCAGACATCTGTTGTAATTAATAAATTAGTAAAATATTTAATAAGCAAAATAAAAACTCAGCTTCCTGTCAAAAGACTAAGAGGAGGTTCTCCTTCTCCTCTTCCTATTAAAGAAAATAAGTTTTAATTTCCAAATATTTGGCATTTCTTGCCAAGCAAATGAAATCCAGCAATCCTATTTAATTAACAAGTGCTTTTACTGTGAAATTTTTCTCAATGTCAATAACAAGCATTTTCACAAATCAATCAACAACTCAAAAAGGTTTGAAGGCCCAATGCCAAATGTAGTCCTTTAACAGAATCAAGAGACATTTACGATGGTTCAAAGGCAAATCAATTGAAAAAAGAAAAAAAAGCATCTCATTTTTGGAAATAGTAAACTTCTAATTTGAAGTATGCAAGTTAGAGGCCAGGCACAGTGACTAAGTGTTATTACAAAAGAGTCAAGAGACTGGGCATGGTGGCTCACACCTGTAATCCTAGCACTTTGGGAGGCTGAGGCGGGAAGATCACATGAGCTCAGAAGTTCGAGACCCGCCTGGGCAACATAGTGACACATCCCCTCTACAAAAATTAAACAAAATTAGCTGGACATAGTAGCACACGCCCGTAATCCCAGCTACTCTGGTGAATGAGTTCGTGGGAAGATCGCTTAAGTCCAGCAGATCATGGCAGTGAGCCATCATCATGCCACTGCACCCCAACCAGGGAAACAGACTGAGAATCTGTCTCAAAAAAAAATTTTTTTTTAATTTTTTAAAGAGTCAGGTATTTTTTTTTAAGTTTCTAAAGGCCAGGAACAGTGCCTTATGCCTGTAAGCCCAGCATTTGGGGAGGACAAGACTGGAGGATTGCTTAAGCCCAGCCTGGGCAACGTAAAATTGTCTCTACAAAAAATTTTTTTAAAAAATAGGCCAGGTGCAGTGGCTCACGCCTGTAATCCCAACACTTTGGGAGGCCAAAGAAGGCAGATCACTTGAGGTCAAGAATTTGAGATCAACCTGGCCAACATGGTGAAACCCTATCTCTACTAAAAATACAAAAATCAGCTGGGCACGGTGGCACACACCTGTAATCCCAGCTACTCAGGAGGCTGACGCACAAGAATTGCTTGAACCTGGGAGGCGGAGGCTGCAGCGAGCCGAGATCACACCACTGCACTACAGCCTGGGCAACAGAGCGAGACTCTGTCTCAAAAAAATATAATTAATAATAAAATAAAATAAATAATTAGCCAGGCATGGTGGCACACATACATAGTCCTAGCTATTCAGAAGGCTGAGGTGAGAGAATTGCTTGATCTAGGAGTTCAAGGCTGCAGTGAGCTAGGACTGAGCCACTGCACTCCAATCTGGATAAGAGTGCAAAATCCTGTCTCAAAAAAACAAAAATAAAAAGATAAAAGCTGGACACGGTGGCTCACTGCTGTAATCCCAGCATTTTGGGAAGCCAAGGCTGGTGGATTGACTGAGGTCAGGAGTTCGAAACCAGCCTGGCCAACATGGTGAAACCCCAACTCTACTAATAATACAAAAATCAGCTGGTTGCGGTGGCACGTGTCTGTAATCCCAGCTACTCGGGACACTGAGGCAGGAGAATCGCTTGAACTTGGGAGGCAGAAGTTGCAGTGAGGCGGAGGTTGCAGTGAGCCAAGATCACGCCATTGTACTCCAGCCTGGGAGACAAGAGCAAAACTCCATCTCCAAAAAATAAAAAATAAAATAAAATATAGAAGTGAGGGCCCTAACCACACAAAAGGATAATACTAGAAGTTCACAGTGCAAAATCATCCTTTCAATTGGGGTGGAAAACCCACACAAATTTTTTAAGTTTATAATTAGATTTAACAGTATTACGATTCTAATAAGCAAGTTAAATCAGAAACCTTGAGACAATTACAAATATTTTACAGATATTTTGGAACCAAAGTATTAACACTATAAATAAATATTAGCCCACATCTATGAAAAATGACTCATGTTTCTTTCTAATGAATTGACCATTACATTTCCGAACTTATGAAACGGCCAACAGACCACAGAAAGACAATTCTTTAGGCTCCTGCTTGAAACCAACAGCTTCAGCAAACTGCTGGCCTTGATTCAGGGCCAAAGGAAAACAAAATCCTTCAATTAAGCAAAGTAGCAGAGATTCCCACTAGTCTTCAAACTAGCAAATCACAGCCTTAACAGGCAGAGTAAAAAGATACGGGTAAGGCAGTGTCTGGTCATTGGAAGAGACTGATTGGAACAACGAACATCATCCACAAAGGCCAAGCACCTCTGACTGGAACGAGTGGTATGCGCCTAAAATGGAAAAAGACAGATAAAATACACCCACGAAAGAACATAAAACTATGATGAAAATAGTTATATAAGAAAAGCGCATCCTAAAGGCTAGAAAATTCAACATTTAACAAAAACAGATTTACCAATATTATGCAAAAGACAAAAAACTTTTTTTTTTTTTTTTTTTTTTTTGAGACGGAGTCTCGCTCTGTCCCCCAGGCTGGAGTGCAGTGGCCGGATCTCAGCTCACTGCAAGTTCCGCCTCCCAGGTTCACGCCATTCTCCTGCCTCAGCCTCCCGAGTAGCTGGGGCTATAGGCACCCGCCACCTCGCCCGGCTAGTTTTTTGTATTTTTTAGTAGAGACGGGGTTTCACCGTGTTAGCCAGGATAGTCTCGATCTCCTGACCCAGTGATCCGCCCGTCTCGGCCTCCCAAAGTGCTGGGATTACAGGCTTGAGCCACCACGCCCGGCCAACAAAAAACTTTAAAACCTAGTATATAAAGAATGAGTCAACCTTAATACCAAATACACCTCTCCATATTCTAAAAGTGTGATACAGCCTAATTAAGATAAATTTTGTCTTTTACCAACAGAACTCTTTGAAATTGTAGCCTTAAGTGGAATCTCAACAAATGAAACAAATAAAATTACTCTTACTGAAATGGAGACCAAGGGTTTGAAAAACAAATTTAAGAATGATCACTTAACCCTTCTTCCTATTAACCTTACTTCCTACATTCAATTGCTCCTACTCTACCTTCCCACCTTTTAAAACAAGATTCCCAAGCAATTTAGGCTTAACCTGTGCTTATTTCTGAACTGAAGAATATCTGAACCAAAGGACTTAGAAACTCTTCCCAACTACTCAATATGCAGATGAGAATACTGAGGCCCATAAAAGTTAACTGTGCAGACACAGAGCTGGTCAGTGGGGACTCAGACTAGAATCCATGTCTCCTGACTTCAAGCTAAGTGCTTTCACTACAACCCAAGTGCAAAAAGTCAGATTTCAGATCCAGGACTGGACATAGGGAATTCGAGACCAGCCTGACAAACATGGAGAAACCTCGTATCTACTAAAAATACAAAATTGCCAGACATGGTGGCGCCTGCCTGTAATCCCAGCTACTCGGGAAGCTGAGGCAGCAGAATTGCTTGAACCCGGGTGGTGGATGCTGCAGTGAGCCAAGATCTCGCCACTGCACTCCAGCCTGGGCAACAAGAGTGAAACTTTGTCTCAAAAAAAAAAAAAAAAAAAAAAATTGGACATAATGTTTTGACAATTACGCTAACTTTGTAAATAAAGTGAACGTGGCCAGGCACAGTGGCTCATGTCTGCAATTCCAACACTTTGGGAGGCCAAGGTGGGTAGATCACGAGATCAAGGATTAGGAGACCAGCCTGGCCAACATAGTGAAACCCTGTCTCTACTAAAAATACAAAAAATTAGCCAGGCGTGTGGTGGCGGGCACCTGTAATCCCAGCTGCTCGGGAGGCTGAGGCAGGAGAATCGCTTGAAACTGGGAGGTAAAGGTTGCGGTGAGCCGAGATTGCACCACTGCACTCCAGTTCAGGTGACAGTGCGAGACTCCGTCTCAAAAACATAAAAACAATAAATAAAGTGAACATATATACCTTAAAGGTATACACACAAATTACCTGTTGGGCGGCACCATCTGTGGCCAGCATTCTCCGTTCCTTCAACTGCCTATGCAGTAAGGCTTCCACTCCATAGCGCTGGCGGTATCGACGCAGACATTTTAATCGCTTTAAGTTCTCTCGTTCTTTGGCCAAAAGTCCCTCTGGGCCAGTCAGGAGACTACTGCCTAGAGTTACAAGAGTCAAGATGTTATTTGCCAAGCAATCCATCAAATTTACTTCTCCAAGTAAACAAGTAAACAGGAAAATCTTTGGGCATAAGATAGGCAGTTTCAAAAGCAAATTAGCCCCCACCCCAGGTACCAAGACAGAAATAAATCTAATCATAGTCATGTACTACATAAACCACTTTTTAATCAATCATGGACTATATATACTACAGTGGTCCCATAAGATTATAACAAAACTGAAAAATTCTTATTGCCTAGTGACATCATAGTTCAACCCACATATTTGTGGTGATGCTGGTAGCCAAACCTACTGTACTGCCAGCTGTATAAAAGTCTAGCACAGTTTGGACATGGTGGCTCACACCTGTAATCCCAGCACTTTGGGAGCCCAAGGCGGGTGGATCACCAGATGAGGAGATTGAGACTATCCTGGCCAACATGGTGAAACCCCATCTCTACTAAAAACACAAAAATTAGCTGGGCGTGGTGGCATAAGCCTGTAGTCTCAGTTACTCGGAAGGCTGAGGTAGGAGAATTGCTTGAACCCAGGAAGTGGAGGTTGCAGTGAGCTGAGATCACACCACTGCACTCCAGCCCCGCAACACAGTGAGACTACATCACAAAAAAAAAAAAAATCTAGCACATATAATTATGCACAGTACATAATACTTGATAATAAACAACTATGTTACTGGTTTATGTATTTACTGTATTTATCCTTAGAATGTACTCCACTCTATTTATTTTTTTAAAAAAAAGTTAAATGTAAAACAGCCTCAGGCAGGTCTCCCAGAAAGTATTGCAGAAGACACTGTTATCATGAGATGACAGCTCGCTGCATGAGACTGTCCCTAAAGACCTTTCGCTGGGACAAGATGTGGAAGCAAAAGACAGTGACACTAGGCCCGTGTAGGCCTAGGCTAATGTACGTGTTTGCATCTTAGTTTTTAACAAAAGTTTAAAAGGTTTTTTTTTTTTTAATTAAACTAGAAAAGCTTATAGGGATATAAAAAAATATTTTCGTACAGCTATACAGTGTGTTTGTGTTTTAAGCTAAGTGTTATTACAGAGTCCAGAAGTTTTTCTAAAAAGAATTTTTAAGTTTATAAAGGCCAGGTGCAGTGGTTCATGCCTGTAATCAATCCCAGCACTTTGGAAAGCCGAGGTAGGAAGATCACTTGAGCCCAGGAGTTCAAGACTAACCTGGGCAACATAGCGAGACCCTGTCTCTACAAAAATTTAAAAATTAGCTGAGTGTGCTGGTGCATCTGTAGTCCTAGCTACTCAGGAGGCTGAGGCAGGATAGCTTGAGTCCAGGAGTTGAAGGCTGCAGTGAGTAAGGACCACACTACTGCACTCCAGCCTGAGTGACACAGCAAGATTCTGTCTCTTTTTTTAAAAAAAAAAAGCTTATAGGCCAGGCGCGGTGGCTCATGCCTGTAATCCTAGCACTTTGGGAGGCCAAGGTAGGCGGATCACTTGAGGTCAGGAGTTCTGAGACTAGCCTGGCCAACATGGCAAAACCCAATCTCTACTAAAAATAAAAAAATTAGCCGGGCATGGTGGAATGTGCCTGTAATCCCAGCTACTCGGGAGGCTGAAGTGGGAGAATTGCTTGAACCTAGGAGGCAAAGGTTGCAGTGAGCTGAGATCACGCCACTTGCACTCCAGCCTGGGCAACAGAGTAAGACTCCACGTCTGTCTCAATTTAAAAAAAAAAAAAAAGAGTTTATAAACTAAAAAAGTTACAATAAGCTAAGGTTAATTTATTATTGAAGAAAAAAAATTTTTTTATAAATTTAGTACATCTTAAGTGTACAGCACTTACAACGTCTACAGTAGTAAATAATAATGTGCTAGGCCTTCCCGTTGACTCACGACTCACCACTCACTCGCCCAAAATAACTTCCGGTCCCACAAGCTCCATTCATGCTAAGTTCCCATTTTTAAAATCTTTTATGCCATAATTTAACTGTACCTTTTCTATGTTTAGATGTGTTTAGGTACACAAATACCACTATTACAACTGCTCACAGTATTCAGTACAGTAACATGCTTGTACAGGTTTGCAGCCTAGGTACATTGTAGGCTATACCACCTATGTTAGCGTTACTCTATGAAGTTTGAATGACAAAAATCGCCTAACAACGTATGTATCCCCGTCATTAAGCGACACATGACTGTATTACCAAATTCGCAAGTTAAACCCACAACAGCTTATTGGAACTGGCATAAAACTTGCCTAGAGCTTCATGTTCCACTTTGCGATTATGTAAGTACCGGCGCTTCTTCTCCTTGAGCAGATGCTGAAGTCGTTTAAACTGATCAATATACAAAGACTGCAAACGAATTAGCTTCTCACGCATAATCAGGGCCACTTCTTCTGCCGTGTAGACACCAGCATGTCTGGAATAAAACAGAATTCAGCAAAGTGTAAGAAAACAATAATAATAAAACCCAAGTTTAAAAGAGTAGTAGAGATGTCAGACTAAGTTTGTTATTTAACAAGTGGTGAGATAATCACCTTAATAGTAATGTTTTCACAAAACATCGTACCATTCAAGTTGTTCCTAAATAAAACAAGAGAGAAAATCTCCAAGAAAGAATACTAATCTGCGATTTCCCAAAATGGGGGAAGGAGAAATGTCTTATTTTTTTCCAGCTATCTGCATTACATTGAAAAGAAAGTGAACATGTGGAACACTTTAAACTTTTATTAACCTACATTCTTAATGTTTTGATATGAAATCACTTAACCAGTCAGGACAGCTTTAAAGTGTTAAATTCATTAACGTGTATCTCTCACATATACATATTCATATATATATATATATATATATTTTTTTTTTTTTTTCGAGATAGGGTCTCACTCTTGTCATCCAGGATGGAGTGCAGTGGTACAATCGATTACAACTCACTACAACCTCTGCTTGCTGGGCTCAAGCGATCCTCCCATGTCAGCCTGCCAAGTGGCTGGAATTACAGGTGTGCACCACCCCACTTGGCTAATTTTTGTATTTTCTGTAGAGATGGGATTACACCATGTTGTCCAGGCTTGAACTCCTGGGTTTAAGCGAACCTCCCACCTCAGCCTCACAAAGTGCTGGAATTAAAGGCATAAGCTACTGCATCTGGCAATATATGTTAATTAAAACACTAAAGATACCAACATCAAATAATTTTTTTTTTTTTTGAGACAGAGTCTTGCTGTGTCTCCCAGGCCGCAGCGCAGTGGCACAACAACCTTGGCTCACTGCAATCTCCACTTCCCAGGTTCAAGCAATTCTCCTGTCTCAGCCTCCCAAGTAGCTGGCATTACAGGCACCTACCACCACACCCAGCTAATTTTTGTATTTTAAGTAGAGACAGGGTTTCTCCATGTTGGTCAGGCTGGTCTTAACTCCTGACCTCAGATCGATCTTCCAGTCTCAGCCTTCCAAAGCGCTGGGATTACAGGCATAAGCCACTGCGCCCGGCCAAAACTTGTGATTTTTAAAAAAAATATAGTCCTATATTGGAGCTCATATGGACCCTCAAATAACTAGTCAAAATGGGCTACACACTGTCTTCAGCTAATTTTCTTGACAATATTCTCAAAATTCAGTACCCTAGGTTAACCCTTAATTGCCAAAGATCTGGCACATATCCATGTCAACTTGATTAAGCTTTGTTGTCAATTATAAACTAAAAGAACTTTCGGATCGCGCCACTGCATTCCAGCCTGGGTGACAGTGAGACTCCATCTCAAAAAAAGGAAAAAAAAAACCTTCTAAAAATTATGCTAGTGATTAATGTGTGGAACACTGTTCCCTGGCTCTGATTTATGCAACCAAAATTAAGAGATGAGGGCAGGTGTGGTAGCTCACGCCTGTAATCATAGCACTTAGGGAGGCTGAGGCAGGCAGATTGCTTGAGCCTGGGGGTTCAAGACCAGCCTGGGCTGTAATATGGTAAAACCCTGACAATACAAAAAATACAAAAGTTAGCTTGGCACCGTGGTGTATAGCTGTAATCCCAGATACTCAGGAGGCTGAGGTGAAAGGATCATTTGAGCTTGGGAGTGGGAGGCTGCAGTGAGCTGAAATCGCGCCACTGCACTCCAACCTGGGTGACAGAGGAAGACCATGTCTCAAAAAATAAATAAGAGAATAACTTTGAATTTTAAAAATTTTGTTTCATTCATCTTATCTGATCATTACATAAGTACAAAGAACAAGCTACATACCTTAAGTTTCATACTTTGAGTAAAAATTTTATTGAAAAGGCAAAACACATACACTAATTTTAAGTCAAAAATTATATTTTATTACTTTTATTTATTTATTTTTTTTAAGAAAGAGTCTTGCTCTGTTTCCCAGGCTTCACTGAAGTGGCACAATGTTGGCTCACTGCAACCTCCACCTCCCAGGTTCAAGCAACTCTCGTGCCTCAGCCTCCGCAGTAGTTGGTTGGGATTGCAGGCGTGTGCTCCCACGCTCAGCTAATTTTTTTATTTTTTGTATTTTTAGTAGAGATGGGGTTTCACCATGTTGCACAGGCTGGTCTCAAACTCCTCCTGAGTTCAGGCAATCCACCTGACAAGACCTCCCAAAGTGCTAGGATTACAGGTGTGAGCCACTGTGACCAGCCTATGCTTTATTTTTTAAAACTAGCTTGTTAAGTCACTGAAAAACATAGAATAAATATATAAAATTAACCTTAGGACTGAAAGCAAGTAATTTCTGCCAAAATTTCTTCTAAATATAAACAAGAGCCAATATTACCTGTGTGTAAGAGGTACTTAACTATATTCTGAAGTAAAAGTGAACAGAAATTAAGAAAAATCAAAACATGGTTAATAAAACCAGCAAAGGGCCGGGCGTGGAAGCTCACGCCTGTAATCCCAGCACTTTACGAGGCCAAGGTGGGTGCATCACTTGAGGTCAGGAGTTCGAGACCAGCCTGGCCAAGAGGGCGAAACTCCCTCTCTACTAAAAATACAAAAATTAATCGGGTATGGTGGCAAGCGCCTATAATCCCAGCTACTCAGGAGGCTGAGGCATGAGAATCACTTAAACCTGGAAGGTGGAGATTACAGTGAGCCGAGATCGCTGCACTCCAGCCTGGGCAACAGAACAAGACTCTGTCTCCAAAATTTAAAAATTAAATAAATAAAATAAACAAACAAATTAAATAAATAAAAATAATACATTAAAAATTAAAAATTAAATAAAATTAAATAAAACAAAAAATAAATTAAATTAAACTAGCAAATAACAGAAATGACAAAAGCTAACAGACTATCAGAAAATGTGAAAAGGCTTTAAAAATACATAACGGTTGGCTGGGCGTGGTGGCTCAAGCCTGTAATTCTAGCACTTTGGGAGACTGAGGCGGACATACTGCCTGAGCTCAGGAGTTTGAGACCAGCCTGGGAAACATGGTGAAACCCCGTCTCTACTAAAATACAAAAAAAAAAAAAATCAGCCAGGCATGGCGGCATGTGCCTGTAGTCCCAGCTACTAGGGAGGCTGAGGCAGAAGAATTGCTTGAACCCAGGAGGCAGAGGTTGCAGTGAGCCGAGATCGTGCCACTGTGCTCCAGCCTGGCAATAGAGCAAGAATCCGTCTCAAAAATAAATACATAACAGCTTCACAAGGTGACTAAGTTATATCTTCAGAAAAATGGGTTATGCCTGCATTAACCTGTCTCTAACCTAAAATACTGAGGCCTTAACTTAATGTAGAGTTTGTTAAAATGAAATTCACTTTTTGAATACTGAAAATGAGAAAAATAAAAATTGTTTTAAAAAATTAATTTCACTGCACCCTGTCAGAAGAGAATTTAACCAATAGCCTGCGACTGAAATGTATTCATCTGAAGTCATTACTATTAGAAATCATTTGGTGGGGGCAGTAAGCAACCTACTAAATGAATGCCTGCTGGTTCATGTAACAGATGGCTCATTTACTTAAAGATGAATGCGCCAGACTTTCAGAGCTGGACATTAAAATTATGTACTAATTCCCCTTGCTCTGGTATGTGCAAATGAAAGTCAAGGTTTTATTATTAAAATTCATCTTCAAAAAACAGGGTCTCACCTTATATTCTACCAAATAGTCTCTCTTATAAAGGGCATTTTCCGAATTTCTTTATTTGGAAAACAATGATGAAGATTCAATAATGTGAAATAACCTTCAGCCAAACAAGTTTTGGATGTTTATAGAGGTCATATGATACAATTATTATTAAAAAAGGGAAATGAAGACTTAACAATTACCTTTAGGATAAAACTTCGTTAAGTATTAGATGTTGTAGACAAGCTTTTATTTATTTTTTGTGTGTGTGTGAGATAGGGTCTCCCTCTGCTGCCCAGGCTGGAATGCAGTGGCACAGTCACAGAGCCTCGACCTCCCAGGCTCAAGTGATCCTCCCACCTGAGCCTCTCGAGTAGCTAAGACTACAGACCACGCGCACTACCACGTATGGCTAATATTTAAATATTTTGTAGAGACGGGGTCTCCCTATGTTGTCAAGGCTGATCTCGAACTTCTGGGCTCAGGCAATCCTATCACCTCGACCTCCCAAAGTGCTAGGATCACTGGGCACGGTGGTTTGTCTCTGTAATCCCAGCACTTTGGGAGGCCAAAGTGGGCGGATCACCTCAGGTCAAGAGTTCGAGACCAGCCTGCCAACATGGAGAAACCCTGTCTCTACTAAAAAACACAAAAATCAGCTGGGCATAGTGGCAGGCACCTGAAATCCCAGCTACTCAGGAGGCTGAGGCAGGAAAATAATTTGAACCCGGGAGGCAGAGGTTGCAGTGAGCTAAGAAGGCACCACTGCACTCCAGCCTGGGCGACAAGAGTGAAACTCTTATATCAAAAAAAAAAAAAGTGCCAGGATTACATGTGTAAGTCACTGTGCCTGGCCATAAACAAGCTTTTAAAGATTACTTTTAACAAAACAATTAAGTAAGTGGTTACTTTTGAGAGAAATCACATATATACTAACAGGAAGTTTAAAAAATCTATGCCAAGAATATTCTAGTTAGAATAAAGTCTCTAGCAACATCATAAACAATACAAAAGGTGTCCTTTCTGTAACAAGCAATTCAAGATAAATGTGGTCAAATTATTAGATGATTCAAAAAGTGATACTATGAATGACAAAGACACCGGTGCCCTAAGATGAAAATTCTTAATGAAAAGCATTTCACTCAGTGGACATACTACTAAATTACTATATTATTAAATATAACAAGATAGTAATATGTAATCATATTATAAGGAAACACTGAACATCTCTATTTACATGCCTAAAAATGCATAAATTTAGTGGGCCTAAATTATTTTTTTTAAAAATCTCATTGGGAAAATTAACGAAAGCCTTATACTTAGTTGCCTAATAGTTGGCCATATTTGGGGCTTTATTTTCTCTTCTGAACATGTTTCTTCTAGGAGAGAGTGACATCAACTGCCTAGTCCTTTCCACATTTATATTTCTCATAAAATTACCTGGTATTTTGGTTTATACAGTAGTCTCTTGCAAGTTAAATCAGCATGGATGTGCCTCCTAGAGACTGATCCACTCTAGATTATTACTAACAAAATCAAGTTTCTCGACCTTAAGCTGAGTGTTTACCACACCAAATGACACTCCCTTTGTAACCCTAGAGAGCATACATCTCTTCAAAGCAGCAAGTTTGATCATCTAGAACCAAAATGGAAAAAAAAGGAATGAAGCTGGGCCTGATGGCTCATGCCTGTAATCCCAGCACTTTGGGAGGCTGAGGCAGGTGAATCACGAGGTCAGGGGTTCAAGACCAGCCTGGCCAACATGGTGAAACCCCATCTCTACTAAAATTACAAAAAATGAGCTGCGTGTGGTGGTGGGTGCCTATAATCCCAGCTACTTGGGAGGCTGAGGCAGAAGAATCACTTGAACCTGGAAGGCAGAAGTTGTAGTGAGCTGAGATCGCGCCACTGCACTCCAGCCTGGGTGACAGTGCAAGGCTCCATCTCAAAAAAAAAAAAATGAATATGTTGGTTTAAGTTACTATTTGTGAGAGAATCCTGCAAGAGAACAGACATTCCCTTTCAAACTACTTAGATGGGCTTTCTAAACTAGTACTTCCTGAATAGTTGACCACAGTGAGATTACTCAATAGAAATGGATGAAATTATTCTACTCAGAAAACTTAACATATGGCCATACTATCCTGAATATGCCCAACCTCCTCTGATATCAGAAGCTAAGCAGGGTCAGGCCTGGTTAGTAGTTGGACAGGAGAAAATGTAACCCTAAATGACTTCTTATAAACCAAAGAATCTAAAGTAATGAAGAAAATACTATTCCAAGAACAAAAGCCCAATAGTCAACCTAGAAATTACCCCTTCCACTATTTACAGTCCCTCTACATAAACTATCAGTACTAAGTGTTAAGACACAGAAGTCAGCAGGCAAAAATTTTAAAACACTAAACCCAGACCTTGAGACACAGAAATAAGAGACTTCAGAGTGGTAATGTTTTTATGCTTCTATAACTCCTATGGTGATGATGGGTTAACAGAAGAGCAGAAGCTTACTAAGATATAAAACTGACTAAGACATAATCACTTTTGGGTTTCTAAATCAGTTTCTCTTTCTTAGGCACAAAACCAAACTCTTGAATACCTTTTCCTTCTTCTTTTTAAAAAAAATCCACACACTAAAAACACTAAATGTTTGAGGTGATGAATATGCTAATTACCCTGATTTGATCATGACACAAGGTTTACAAGTATCCAAACATCACACTGTACCCCATAAATATGTAAAATTGTCAATTTAAAACAATATAAAACTTTTAAAAACTTGTAAATCCATAAATACGACATTTTGCAGAAGTATTCAACTACAATCACATTATTTCTGAGGTTTAGGCCAAGTACCCATTCACAACCATTTTCTCTTCTCTAAACTGGTGTGACCATTTCTCAATCCACCTCCCACACTCCCACGTCTAAATTTCCTGTTTTCTCCCCTATACTTTCTCATATGTAGAATGTGGTGTTCAAACTTTTTCTAAATTACAAGACTTCTAAAAAAGAATCATCCTGCCTTGAAGCAAGATGACAACGAACCATGCCACTTTTATATACAGAATCTCTTACTGCTGACAAATGGCTGTCTTCAATCCTCCTAGGTTATTAATTTATTAACAGCATGCAGCGCCACATTCCACATACTAACTACATTTCAAATGCCTTATGTGGAGTTACAACTTACTTTAAGGGATCTTCTTGATCACTGTCTATGCTATCAGCTTCACTGTCAGGGTCACCTCTCCATGTCTGATCCACAGTAATGGGTTCCTGCTCCCCATCACTCCAGCTGTCTTCATCTGAGGCAAGGAAGGGAGAGCAGCCATTAAGACTTCCCACCTCTGTAACTCCACCACACAAAACTAGATTACTTATCAACCCAAACCTTGAAATTAAAAAAACAAAAAACAAAAAAAAACTTTGTACAAAGACACTGGGAAATAAAAACACTTTAACAAAATACAACCCAGTATGATTACTTACAACACAAATGAGTAAACCATGCCCTCTTAAACAGAAAAATCAACTTAAAATTATCGTTTCCTGACATTACCTAACAAAGCTGCTGAGCATTAAAAAAGCAATGAAAGAAATGGTCACCAACTCAGGAGAGTAAACCTAGGCAAACACTACTTCAAATTCAAAAGAACTGGTAAACAACAAAGCAATCCCGGAATTCTCAACAAATTCCTGATGAATTAACAATATTGCCGAATAGTTCAAGGCATTGTGCTAACCCAAAACAGTTCCCCCTTAACTTTCTTCCTCCTTTTTCATTCCAGGAGAGAAGATTCTTACCTAGTATTCGGCTGGCTTCACTGCGACTACTTTCTGGAGTCTGAGACCCCAGCTCTGTCTTAGCATATGAGCTGAGCTGGCACAGGAGTGTTTCACCCATAGGCCCTGGGTTGGTCTTCTTCATTTGAGCATGAAGTGCCAGGGCATTCCTACGGACATGTTCAGCACAGAAGGACACCCTAAAGAGACAAAACATTAATATTTTATAAGTCCCTTCTTGAAAGCATTCAATAATTTTCATAGTCCCTAATCTTTAAATCATTTTCAGGGAATTAAAATGATTAATACATTCATTTCTAAAAATGCAAGTCAGAGGAATTTAACTGGCCCAAGGTCAACTCATTGACTTTTTATTAAAGGAAAATAACAGGCCGGATGAAGTGGTTCACCCCTGTAATCCCAGCACTTTAGGAGGCTGAGGCAAGGGATTGGGTCTTGCTCTGTTGCCCAGACTAAAGTGCAGTCATGCAATCATAGCTCACTGTAGCCTTAAACTGCTTGGTTCAAGTGATCCTCCTGCCTCAGCTTCAAAATAGCTAGAACTATAGGCATGCACCACTGTACCGGCAAATTTTTTTTAGTTTTTTGTAGAAACAAAGTCTATGTTGCCAAGTCTGGTCTGGAACTCCCAGGCTCAAGTGATCCTCCCATCTCTTGATACTCCCAAGAAGCTGGGACTACATGCCCAAGACATTATGCCCAGCGAATTTTTTAATCTTTTGTAGAGACATGGTCTCACTATATTGCTCGGGCTGGTCTCCAACTCCTGGCCTCAAGTGATCCTCCTGCTGTGGCCTCCCAAAGTACTGGGACTACAGGCATGAGCCACTGCGACCAGCCAGGGACACAATTTTAAAACTACAAGATATGTACAAAATTATCTAGTCAGGTTATGTTTTTGCATAGATACCTTTGCATACATGATGAAAACTATGAACCCTCTTACAGAAGATTTCACACATATACAACTTTGCATGTTATTTAACAAAATTCATGGACAGCCAAATAGAGCCACACACCCCTCCATTAAGAATAATTTTAGGGGCTGGGTGCCGTGGCCCACGCCAGTAATCCCAACACTCTGGAGGGCCGAAGCGGATGGATCACCTGAGGTCAGGAGTTCAAAATCAGCCTGGCCAACATGGTGAAAACCCGTCTCTACTAAAAAGTACAAAAATTGGCCGGGCGTGGTGGCGCACGCCTTAAGTCCCAGCTACTTGGGAGGCAGGAGAATCGCTTGAACCTGGGAGGCGGAGGTTGCAGTGAGCCGAGATCACCACTGCACTCCAGCCTGGGGAATAAAGGGAGACTCTGTCTCAAAAAAAAAAAAGAAAAAAGAAAAAAAGATTAATTTTAGGGTCGGGCACAGTGGTTCACGCCTGTAATCCCAGCACTCTGGGAGACCGAGATGGGAGGACACCTTGAGGCCAGGAGTTTGAGACCAGCCTGGTTAAAACAGCAAGACTCCATCTCTCTTTAAAAAAAAAAAAAGTAATTTAGAATATGCCTTTATTTTACTACAGATAAGGGAAAAGAACCAAAGAGGTGAACTAAGTAATCCAATTCAAGGGTTCTTCCAGTCTTCACCGTTTTTTCAATTTTCCAAGGATACAACCATAACCCCAAATTTACAAGGACGTGATCTCAAACGCGGCAGCTATGCTGAAGCCCACATCATATCACACACCCCCTTGCTTTAAGACAAACGACATATATATCTATACATACATACCCATCTTTCTTCTCTGGCTTTGGGGCAGCATTGGGACATCTTTTTCCATTCTTCGTCGATATATAACTACACTGCTTGAAGGGTGCATTCTTGTCTTCAAGGATATGCTTAATGCAAAACTCCTGCCCCTCCAGACGAGGCTGAGAGCATGGACGATGAGTGAATGCACAAGACAGAGGTTCCTGAGACCTGGGCACTGGAGTGATCCTCCCCCGATTGGTTGGCAGGACGTGAATCCGAATCCTGTTCATAACCAAAACCTGCGGGGTCAAAATAAAAATCAGAAAGCCTTTACCCTTCCCGAAAATTCCTGCTCCACCGTATCTGGACAGATCGCGCGGGCAGTTTCCAAAAGAGAGGCAGAAGTCGGCCCCGTAAGGTACGCTCCGTAACTGCCCGCCGCCCTCCCCAGGTCTCCACAGGCATTTGTGGCTTTCCCTCTCCTTAGCTTGTCCCTCCATGCCCGGCCCCACCCCGAACCCCACCACGCTGAATGTATCTTCAGGACTCGCACAGCTGCAGCATGAAGGGAAGCGACAACGCCAGGCCCACGCGACGGCCACGCTGCCTCCCTGCACGCCGCCTTTGTCCCGGCCTGCCTCAGAGCACACGACTGGGCCCGGCCTCGGAAGTCCATGCGAGCGCCATTTTGTCCTACTCCGGTCACCAGAGATCCTGGCTCCTTGAAGCCTGTAGGAAGAAGACTGACTCTGACACTGCTTTGAGGCGAAATAGCAGCTCTGAGTTGACAAAAAGGGCGAAATAGCAGCCCAACTGCAAGAGCTTAGAGCAAAGAACGCCGCCATCTTACCTCAGGCGGTGCGCCGCGCTGCGCCGCGCTCTGCCGCGCCGCTAGCCCTACTCTGGTGGCGGCAGCGGCTCCTAGATTGGCCTCGCTCCTTTCCGGACTCCTGGCTACTGATTGGCTACCGCTCCTATGACGGGGTGTCGCCATTGGCCGAGGCCCACTACCTATCGTATCTGGAAGGGCGGAGCGCTGAGAAAATGCGCGGTTGGGGTGGCTACGACTGTCAGCAACTCCGCCCCGAGGAGAGTGAGCTGGGTAAGGGGGCGGAGAGCGGGCTGCGGGGCGGGTTGCCAGCTAGTGATATTTTTCCAACTTGCAGCGTGGCTCGTTTTCCGGCTACTTTTGAACCCTCAGTCTGTGGTCCTAGGCTGCTGTTCCCTCACCACTGTACACAGCTAGCATAAAATCAGACAAGCCGGGCGCGGTGGCTCACGCCTGTAATCCCAGCACTTTGGGAGGCTGAGGCGGGCGGATCACCGGAGGTCGGGAGCTCGAGACCAGCCTGACCAACATGGAGAAACCCCGTCTCTACTAAAAATACGAAATTAGCAGGGCGTGGTGGTGCATGCCTGTAATCCCAGCTACTCGGGAGGCTGAGGCAGGAGAATTGCTTGAATCCGGGAGGCGGAGATTGCGGTGAGCCGAGATCGCGCCATTGCACTCCAGCGTGGGCAACAAGAGCGAAACTCCGTCTCGAAAAAAATAAAAAAAAATTTTTAAATCAGACATAGACAGAGGCTGGAGGATCACTGTTTTTGTTTTTTGTTTTGTTTTTGAGATGGAGTTTCACTCTTTTTGCCCAGGCTGGAGTGCAATGGCACAATCTCGGCTCGCTGCAACCTCCGCCTCCCAGGTTCAAGCGATTCTCCTGCCTCAGCCTCCCTAGTGGCTGGGATTATAGGCATGTGCCACCACGTCCGGCTAATTTTGTATTTTTTAGTAGAGACGGGGTTTCACCGTGTTAGCCAGGATGGTCGCACTCCCGACCTCAGGTGATCCGCCCGCCTCGGCCTCCCAAAGTGCTGGAATTACAGGCGTGAGCCACCGCGCCCGGCCAGGATCACTGTTTGCACATAAAACGTCTTTAGTTTTCTTTTGTGAACAGTTCAATACATGTACTGAACATTTGGTGTCGAGAACCCTGAGAAACATTTTTTGGGTGTTTACTGATTCTGGGAATTACATATATAAATTCATTGAATTTTTCAAAGCAACCCTAAGAGGTAGAGGTTAGTATTATGTCAATTTTACAGATAAGAGGACTGAGGAACAGAATGGGACATAGCTAGTAAATGGGAAAAGACGACGAATTTGAACTCAACATCCTTCATCCCTTATTGCCGCTTATATAGTAAAGAGCATTGGACTGAGAATAAGGAAATATTTGTTCTAGTTTAGGGCTGCTTCTCATAACTGTGTACCCTGTCTTTAAAATTCCATGCTAAATAATGCGGGTATCATAACGACAGACACAATACCAATCATACCATCCTTTAAGGATTTTTAGTTTCAAAGCATCTTTCTGTCATCTCTGCCACTTGTAGAAATGATTCCTCGCTTTCTTCCCATAACCCTTCTAGACATTTTTTGCCTTCCAGCATCCCTTATCTGCTGTCAGTTTAAGAAAGATGTTTTATCCATGCCTAATAAGCAAGTGAGCATAAGTCACAGTGGAAGTGAGCATAAAGATTCTACAGCCCTCAAGAAAAACACTCAGGCTGAGCATCGTGGTTCACCCCTGTAATCCCAGCACTTCGAGAAGCTGAGGTGAGAAGATCGCCTGAGCTCAGGAGTTCGATCTCAGCCTGGGCAATATGGGGAAGGAAGGAAGGAAGGGAGGAAGGGAGGAAGGGAGGGTGGGAGGATCTTAAAAAAAAAAAAAAGGCTTGGGAGTTGTGCTGTTTCCAGAGACCAGAGCAGCCCTAGAAGAAGGCCTGAAATTCATTCATTCAATAAATATTTATTGAGCACCTAAGTGCCAGGAGAGAACAAGGAAGATAACCCTGCTCTCTTGGAGTGAACATTCTAGGATAGTTTGGGATTATGGATGCAATACAAACATAATATTAACAACAATGACTTATATACATAAGCAAACAGACCAACCCTCAGGAGTACAAAAAAAGATGTTTTGTTACAAACACCCTATAATTAAAAAATAGCCAGAGGCAGTCATGTCACAGAAAACTTGGGAATCCGAATCTGCAACCAAATGTAGTAATATCAAAAAGCAACATTAAAACTACCGTAGTGAACAATATGAAGAGACACAGGAATAGATGGGGAAGAAACAAAGACTTTCTTTTAATGAATTTACTGAAGGTCTTAGTTGAAAAAGGAATCCTTCTTGTAAGTCCAAGACAGACAAAATATTACTATTTAGAACCACTTCCTTTTTTTTTTTTTTTTTTTTTCCTTTTTTTCTTGTGACCGAGTCTTGCTCTGTCGCCCAGGCTGGGGTGCAGTGGCATAATCTCCGCTCACTGCAACCTCCGCCTCCCAGGTTCAAGTGATTTTTCTTCCTCAGCCTCCCCCGAGTAACTGGGACAACAGGTGTGCGCCACCGCGCTCGGCTAATTTTTTTATATTTTTAGTGGAGACGGGGTTTCACCATATTGGCCAGGCTGGTCTCGAACTCCTGACCTCGTGATCTGCCCACCTCGGGCTCCCAAAGTGCTGGGATTACAGGCGTGAGCCACCACGCCCGGCCTAGAACCACTTCTAAGTGAAAGGAGGGAGCAGATATTAAAAGCTCAAGATGTCAGCAAATTCTTTGTTCTGTTTAACAAAGTAGATGGTTTTTCTTCTTCTTTTTGAGATGGAGTCTCCTCTGTGGCCCAGGCTGGAGGTAGATGGTTATTTTTAATTCACCGAACACTTTGTAGCTATTGAAGAGGTGAAAGTAGACCAGAAGCTATTTATAAATAGGGATTAGGAAACGAGTTTGGGGGGCTAATCCTAGAGAAAAGCGAGAAAAAAAATAAAAAAAATGAAAGCAGCTGGGCACGGTGGCTCACGCCTATAATCACAGCACTTTGAGAGTCCGAGGCGGGTGGATCACCTGAGGCCAGGAGTTCAAGACCAGCCTGGCCAACATGGTGAAACCCCATCTCTGCTAAAAGTGCAAAAACTAGCCAGGTGTGGTGGCACGTGCCTTAATCCCAGCTACTTGGGAGGCTGAGCAGGAGAATCGCTTGAACCCAGGAGGCAGAGGGTGCAGTGAGCCAAGATCGTGCCACTGCACTCCAGTCTAGGTGACAGAGCAAGACTGTCCCAAAAAAAAAAGTTATCAAAGCCCTTCTCCTTGCTAATTCTAATGAAGTTTTCAGGCCTCATCTTATTAGACCACTTTGCAATATTTAACACACTTGGCCATTCCTCCTTAGAACTCCATACTCTTTCTAGATCTCCATACTCTTCCTAGTTTCCCATCTACATCATAGTCACCCACTCTCTGTCTCTTGTTTCTCTCTTTTCCCCAATTCTAAACACTGAACATTTCTATTTTCTACTACTACTCCTTTACTTATCTCACTCTGTTTCATCCCATTCATAAGCTGATATCTCCCAAATGTGTATATCCAGCCTGGACCCCTCCTTTGAACTTGACTCTCTAGTCATCTGTCCAGTAGGCATCTCCACTTGGATGTCTAATTGGCATTTCAAATTTAATGTTAAAGCCAACCTCCCGCTACTCCTGTAGTCATCTCTACCTCAGTATATGACAACCCCAACCTTCCCGTTGGTCAGGACAAACACTGGGAGTTATCCTTGACTTCTTTCTCTTCTATCTAATAGCAAATCCTATTAGCTCCATCTTCAAGATATATCACTTCTCGGCCGAGCGAGGTGGCTCACACCTGTAATCCCAGTACTTTGGGAGGCTGAGGCGAGTGGATCACCTGAGGTCAGGAGCTCAGGATCAGCCTGGCCAACATGGTGAAACCCTGTGTCTACTAAAAATACAAAATTAGCTGGGTGTGGTGGTGCGTGCCTGTAATCCCAGCTACTTGGGAGGCTGAGGCAGGAGAATCGCTTGAATCTGGGAGGCAGAGGTTGCAGTGAGCCGAGATCGCGCCATTCCATTCCAGCCTGGGCAACAAGAGCAAAACTCCATCTCAAAATCTCAAAGAAAAAAAAAAAGAAGATGTATCACTTCTCATTACCTTGGGTACTTCTAACCTGTCCAAGCCACTCTCATCTCTTAAATTGTTGTGAGAGCTCCTTGCCCTTGACTCCTATAATCTATTTTCAACACAGCAGCCCAAATGAACATTTTAAAACCTAAGTTGTATGTCACTTCCCTTCTCAAAACTTTCCAATAGTGTCTGTTCCATTCACTCAGTCTTCATACAAGGTCCTGTTGTATTTGGCTTTCTATTGCCTCTCTAACCTCATATCCTGCTACTCTCCCCTCTCCAATACCCCCTCCCCACTCATTCCTATACCAGCTACACTGGCTTCCTTGCTATTTCTCAAACATATCAGCATATTCTCACCTCAGAACCTTTGATGCCTCACATTTCCTGGAATGATCTTATCCTAGTTATTCCCATGACTTGCTGTCACCTCCTTCAGGTCTTCTCTAAAGGTCATGAGGCTTCTGGTCATGAAGCCTTCCCTAGCCACCTTTTTTCCAATTCCAACAGCCCTACTTACCTACACACACACATCGCTAGGTCCTATTTTCTGCTTTAGTCCCAAAGTGCTTATTATGGCCAGGTGCAGTGGCTCACACCTAAAATCCCAACAAGAGTGAAGGAGGCCCAGGTGGGCAGATCACTTAAGCTCAGGAGTTCAAGACCAGCCTGGGCAACATTGGATGACCCCATCTCTAAAAAAAATAGCCAGATGTGGTGGTGCACACCTGTAGTCTTAGTTACTCAGGAGGCTGAGATGGGAGGATCACTTGAGCCTAGGGAGGTCAAGGATGCAGTGAGCCGTTATCTTGCCACTGCACTCTGGCCTGGGAGACAGTGAGACTGTTTCAAAAAGAAAAAAAAATTTTAAGTGCTTATCACCACCTGACATACTGTTTTACTTATTTGTAAATTCTTTGACGGCAGAATGTCTGCTTACTGCCATATTCCCATTAGTAAACAGTCCACA